GGAGATTCTTTTCTGTAAGGGGCCAGAAAGTAACTATTTTAGGATTTGCAAACCAGGAGGCAAGGGCGAGGATATACGTAAGGTTCTTATATAACGAGAGAGAGAACAAATTTGCACAAATTTTTACTGATTAAATTCAAAATATAATAACAATTGTGTACAATTTTCTGGTAATATAGGTCTACTAATAAGAATGGAATTATTTTAGGGGGATAACATTTCACATAATTGGGGTTCAAAGTTAGTGTTTCCTATTATCGAATCAATCGCAAATGTTCATCTGTAAAACCATTCTCAGTTCCTGGGCCTTACAAAATAGTCTGGCCGACCACATTTACTTTGTCATGCCTCGCTCTAAGTACTAAAGTTACCTGAGAAACAGAACACTAACACTACAGACCTCTTAACTTCCAAGAGGCAGCTTCTAAGCAACTGCAATTCATTTAAACACCAAAATCTTTAAACTTCTTAAAGTGCCTAATCTTTAACAATCATTTCTACAAAACAATTAATTCTTCCTTGACTCTTAGCTATAGGCTAAGTATAAACAAAGAATACTAAATGCAGAAAAGAAATTTAATCCTCTTAAAATCTTAGAATCTAGGGGGCTGGCTGGGTAGCACAGCAGTTAAGTTGGCACGCTCCTCTTCGGTGGCCCAGGGTTTGCCAGTTCGGACTCCAGGCATGGACCTACACACCACTTATCAAGCCATGCTGTGGCAGGCGTCCCACATACAAAATAGAAGAAGAAGGGCATGGATGTTAGCTCAAGATCAGTCTTCCTCAGCAAAAAGAGGAGGATTGGCAGGGGATGTTAGCTCAGGGCTAATCTTCCTCAAAACAAAAACAAAAACAAAAAAACCTTAGAATCTAAGAATCCAAATTACACAGGAGTAAAAACAGATAAAAGCATATTTTTATCAGAAAGTAGGGAAACAGAAGATAACCAGAATTATTTAATTAGGACAGTAAATGAAATAATAATGTGAAGAGGAAAGTTAGGGTTTCTCTATCAAACGTGTGTCTGGGGGGAGTGGGGTAATGAAAATGTATCTTGAACACTTTTGGCAATATTAATTTGAAGTAAATGTTTAGTTTTTAGATTTACTCTGAATACTACTCTCAATAACGTCCTCATCCAATTCTAACCATTAATTTAAAAATATATACCTTCACGCCTTTGCAAAAGTTTAGAATATTTTATTATCTTTTTCAAGTTAGGGCTATTTAATTAACAGCTCAGCCTCACCAACAACGGCCCTAGACTAGAACAGACCTTTGTGGTAGAAAGATGTGCCTGACTCCAACAACCGCCAAATTAAAGGAAATACTCATTCCTTGCTGCTGATACTAAATGAAATATTAAATGTTTAAAATGTTTTCTTATGAAGGATAAAATTAACAACTCTGGTTTTCTAACAACCCCATTTTATTAGATTATGGAAAATCTAAAAACTAAACAAGATACACAAACCTAAAAGGGGGTGGGAGGGAAATATACTGCTAAATATAAACATTAAAATTTTAAAATATCTTTTCACATCTTTTTCAAGAGAGCCCAAAGAGCTTTACAAGAGTAGTAATTCTTTAGCATAACATTTCCGGAAGAAGGGTAAATACCCACCGATTTTTATACCTAAAAAGTTTGGATTTCTGATCTTAGCACTTAAAGCTATATTACAAAAGTATTCTCGCTTGACAAGTCTCCTTTGGCCTAGTAATTTGATGCAACACAGCAATGAAAGTTCTTAAAATTTTCAAAAATGAGAAAATAAGCCAAAGAGGTATGAGCAACTTACAGCATGAAAGTGAATACTGTCAACAATTTCTCCTTACTCATTCACTTTTAATAACCTTCAACATATTTAAAATAAACTAGGGCCTAACGAAGGGCAGAGAGCAAGTGGAAATAAGCATGTGTATTTTCGGAAAGTTCCCCAGCTTTTTCTAGCAACTCCAGATTCAATTCAGAACCAGTTTTCTACATATTTAACAATCAAATTTAAAAAAAATTTTTTTATTCTATTTGCACAACTATATGTCAGTGTTGGTACAAAATTTCTAATCATTCCTCATTTTCATTTCCTCTGGTTCCAAAAGTGACACAATTTGAACATGCATTTTTTTAATCACATTAAAGCTGGAAGTTACAGAATTTTACAGTTGAACAGCATCTTAAAGATCATCTAGTCTGAATCTTTTGGTTCTTCAAGTAAAAAAACTGAGACTTAAAAATATGCCTAAGATCACAAACTACAGAGTAACACAGCTGGGACTTCAACTCCAATGCCCGGACTGCCCTCTGAACCAGAGTAAAATGCCGCGGACTCTTCAGGCAACTGGAAACCAGAATTACATATATGAGAATGAGTTAAGAAATTCCAATCTTCACCAAATACTTAGTGTGAAGAATCTTATTTCAGAATCTCAAAATTTTAAACAAAAGTATTTATTTTCATAGTATAGTAAATATTAACAGATTGCATTCTGATAATTTAATAAAAAGCAATCATATAAAATTCCAAATTATTGCTACGTTCATCTTAATATCTTAAGAAGTTTAAATAAGATAATCAAATTTCTAAGTTAAATTATTTTCTTCTACTTAACTACTAACACTGCAGTAAGGCTCCTAGGGTAGTGTGAAAGCTTAAGGCTGGGAATCAAGACATCTGCATTTGGGTTTCTGTCACAATTTTACAATACTCTTCTAACTTACCAGCAACTGTCAACCCTTCTAACTCTATTTCTCTACTCCTGATTAGGGATCATCAAAACAGTAACTATTCATTGTACAAACTTAGTGCCAGGAATCTTATCTACTACATTGTTCTAATTCTTGCATCTTACAAGATAGGCATTATTTACCTATTTTACAGGTGAGGAAACTGAGACTCTGAGAGACTAAGTTTTCCAAGAAACTGAGCTACTAGCTGAGTAAGTGAGCTTGAATTTAAACCCAGCTCTACCTGACTCCAGCCTAGAGCCCATGGTCCTTGCATTACACCACTTTGCTCATATCCTGATGTGTGTGATCCTAGTGTGGCTGGGAGAATAAGAAGTACCATATTTGAAGTACTATTAGGGAGATAAAAATACACGCTGAAAAAACAAACTAACATTTTCCCTAGTTATTAAACTGAAAATAAAGTTTTAATAAAAGATTTAAAAACGATGCTATCGATACTACTCTTATTACTGTTATTAACAATGAAATGAGCACTGTACGATTAAAAAATATATTGACTTTGTTTTCAGAGGTAACACTGTAAATTAAACTGGAAAACAGTTATCTTTATGCCTATTCCTGCAGTTGAAATAAAATTACTCTGAAAGCCCCGTTAAATCACATAAATTTAAAATTTAAAAGTAATTAATAAATTTAAAAGTAATTAATAAAATGAGGGGGAAAATGACAAAACCTGGTACAGAAGAAATCAAGAGAACTTGATGTCAGTTCCTGCCTCTTCAAACAGACAAAAATACCCTCAAATATTCAAGAAAAGAGGATGAGCAGATGTTTAATAGTGGGCATCTATACAAAGTATCTACATTTTACTATCATCCTATCTTCACCACTGCAGATGGATCACGGTACTATGACAGCTGCTCTGACAGAAGTCAAGATGCTTCCCCAAGTTTGTCTATCATGTCTTTTGCCAGTAAAATGTTCAGAAGACAGTGCACAACTTATTCTCTGTGTGTGATCATTGATTCTTCTTTTTAAAGTTTAAAATCAGGAAGAAAAGACTAGGGCGAATGTAGGACATGGTTATTAATAAACGCAGCCTAAAAGCCAAACCGGAATTGAAGTTTCAGGTTACCTTTATCTATATCATGCCCTACAACTAAAAGCACCTATTAGCCCAAAATGAAAGGTACTGTGCACACTTCCGTCATATGTCCTAAGATGTGACTTGGTACGATACGACAACTTCTTTACATAAAAATCATCAACACCTCTATGACTCTGGGTCCTCTTCCCAACAATGGCCAAAGTGTTAACCTCTGTGTCCTGGGATAATCCCCCCGCAGGTAATGGCACTCTAACCAGGTCAATTCTCCTGGAGTTACATCCTGCGATAACTTTCAGTTTTCCACTTCTCTCTGTTTTTTTAAACCTCCGCTGGCAGTAAAATCCGCACCCCGGAACCACACAAAGCGCCCATTAAAAGCCTTCTTCGCCCAACCGCGTTCAACATTCCCGTCTCTAATCGGGTAAATCGCCAGCAAGAGGAAGCTCGGACAAACCCGCAAATTCGGGGGGCCCGCAGGAAGAGAACGAGGAAACGGGGAAGAGAGCAAGACGCGGGGAGGGCGGGCCCGGGCCGACCTCCAGGCCCGAGGACGCGCCGCCGGCCTCCGCTCACCTCGATCTCGCGGATGTTGTTGGAGGTGACGAAGATGCCGATGCCAATGGGGATGAAGATGAGGCCGATGATGAAGAAGGTGGGTAGCACTGTGCCGGCCGTGAGGATGGGCTGCCAAGCCGGCAGCCTCTGCTGTTTGAAGGCCGTGTTATCCGGTCTCCGGTTCTTGGCGGCGCCCCCAGGGGCACCCGGGGGCCCACCGTCCACTTCATCCTTGGCGTTATAGTTCATCGCCATCGACCCCCGCGGCGCGGCTCCGTGACGCGCAGGTGGACGGCCCAGGGAACCCGCCAGCTGACCCTGACAGGGCACGCGCAGGCGCCGCCGCCGCCGCCGCCGCCGTAAAGGCGGAAGAGGCGGAACACCCTTCCGCCGGCGGCCGCGGACCGGAAGTAGGGGTGGGCTGGGACCGCGGGAGGGAGGGAGAGAGGAAGGAGAGAGAAGAACGAGGGACCAGGGGAGGGGAAAAGGGAGGAGAATGGAGGGGGAGGGGAAAGGCCCACGGTAGAGGGAGAGGAAAGAGGCCGACGCACCCTGATCATCTGCCCTGTGACGACAAAGTGAGGGCCTCAACCCGGAGCCTGAGGTTACGTTAGCGCATGCGCGGCCGTGGGGGCGGAGAGGCGCCTCTTCCGCTCGCGGAGCTTCAGTTGGCGCACACCGGCGCGCGGCTCTGGTTGTCATGGCAACGGGCCGTCTCGGTCGCGGGTGCGCCTGCCCGGCCCTGCACGCCCTCGTCGTCGTCTCTAGAGCTGCTGAGGAAGAGGTCTTTCTGGCGGCTTCGGCGCCGGAGAGGTTTGTGTTTTACGTGGAAGACCTCTCCGAAGGGACTCGGACTCGTAGCCTTTAAAAGACCACACCAGGGGAGCTTGAGCCTGGTGGGATTAGCAGTATTCGCTTGGGTTATAAACCGTGACTTTCTCTAATTAAAGTAAGTAAACTTCCACTCAACGTGCAGTTATAAACATTAAGTGAGATGTGTGATGGGTCGCCCTTTTGTCCTAAAGTCAGGAATAAATCACAGGACTTGGTTAACCCTATTATCCTGCCTCTGTTGAACTTAAACAAATAGCCAGTTATTACTCCAGCAAAAATGTGTTCCTTCAGAATCAGCAAAGAATTGCAACAGGGCGTCTGCAACATGGTACGCCAGCTGCCATTCCCCCAGCAGCAAGGGAGAAAAAACTCTTTTACAGAGGGGAAGAGGAAGTTGGCAGGGCTGTTGTAAACAGAGTGGCAGGAGGAATTGAGAGTTCATGTGTAGTGGCTTTCATTGGCTGAGCTTCTCGCCGGTGGGGAGGCTCTGCTATCAATGTTGGGTGTGAGAGCTCCCCCTCTTGGCTTCCCAACTCCAATTTAATGAGGGTTTTGTTTGTTAATTTGACATTTTCCCATTTTGATCAAGATCTTTCTGTAAAAGCATTGGTGATCGAGGATCAGGTTTTTCTGGTTTCAGCAGCATTTTGCCTTCCATGCCAGGAAGGGCTTTTCCCCCATGTCATATCTGAGGGAAAGTGCACAGATTGGAAACCTGTTGAGACCACACTTGAGTAACAGGAAGAATAGAAGGGAGAACTTTCAGATGTTTGTCTTTTCTAAAGTCCGTATACTTTCAAGATCACAGGCACTGGAGGTCATGTGAAGCAGGAAGAATAGAAGGGAGAACTTTCAGATGTTTGTCTTTTCTAAAATCCGTATACTTTCAAGATCACAGGCAATGGAGGTCATCTGAAGCATTATGTCATCATCAAAGGTTTGGCAGACAAACTTCCAGTGGGCCTGGTCTGGACATCTTGGGAAAGCTGTCTCATCAGATGTCATCTGCCTCAATTCCAGGAAGTCTTTATTTTGAGGTCACCAGGTGATGTGCAGGTCCAGTCAGGGTTTGGTGCTTTCTTTAGATGTGTCACATGAATCTAAGAGTCTGTTCCCTTGTGGCACAAGGGTTAGTTAACAGTACCTAATGGCCTTTCCAGAAAGGTTGAAGAGAGCCCTTCTGGAGTCATCTTTTCCAACAGACAAAATCTCCAGATTGCAAGGTATGATGCTCAAGGTCATCGTCTCCCTGGATCACACTGTGAAAAGATTGCTCTACCAAAACGTGGTTAATTTTAATAGAACAGTTAGGCCTTCACAATATTGGGGTGTTATCTCCTTTTATCAGCTGTGGGTCAAAAGAGGCAGGACACATTGGGTGTCCTGTGATGGTGTCAAAGAGTGAGAGTTTGTGAGTTCCAAAGCGGGTAGATCTGAAATTTAGAGGGATGAATGGCAATGCTTTTGGTCAAGGTATTTAGAAGGTTTCTACAAACTTTGCCAACTGAGTCTTAATAATACCATTAGTGTGTTCAACTAACTTAGAGGATTGAGGGTGGTAGGCACAAAGTGAGTGTTGTAAAACCGGCCAAACAGTACAGACTTGTTGAGGTACCTGACCAGTAAAGTGAGTTCCTCAATCACTGTGAAGCTTGAGTGGAATTCCTCAGGTAGGGCTAATTCTTTTTAAAAGGACTTTAGCCACAGAAAAGGCTGTGGCCTATCTGCAAGGAAAGGCTTCAGTCCAGTGAGAAAACCTACAAACCACAACTAAACCATTTATATCTGCAAGACAGGGGAAGCTGTATGAAATCCATTTGCCAAACCTTGAATGGTCCATTAGGCAGTTTAAAATATCCAGGAACAGTATGAACAGGCTTCCCTAGGTTATATTTTGGACAAGTGGGACTTTTTACAGACTTGTTCATATTTCCTCACCAATATTGATTCATGAATCTTATCATTTTGTCAGTAGACCAATGGTTTGATACATGTACAGTGACAGTGGTTAGGAGTAGGAATTTTAGTCTCCAGTAGGCCTGGATTGTTATGTGATAGGAACCAGAGCTTTCTCTTTTAATAAAACCAACAATTGTTGAATTTCTAATTTTATTTTTCCTTTGCTGAGACCAATTGTTGGACTTCTTTAGTCAGTTTTTCGCAGTTGTTATTTGAGGAAATATCCCTTTGGACCATGACAGAGGTTTGGCTGCTGTTGGTTCCTTCAAGGGCTGCATTCTTGCAGAAATTTCAGCCAAGTAATTTCCTTTACCTTCCAGAGAGTCAAGTTGAGAATGTTCCAGGATCTTAATAATAGCTAAAGTGGCAAGTAAAAGTACAGCATCCAGGGGCTGGCCCCCGGCCGAGTGGTTAAATTTGCATGCTTCAGTGGCCCAGGGTTTCTCGGGTTCAGATCCTGGGCGCAGACATGGCATCACTCATCAGGCCATGCTGAGGCGGTGTCCCACATAGCACACAGAGGCACTCACAACTAGAATCTACAACTATGTGCTGCGGTCTTTGGGGAGAAAAAGGAAAAAAAAAATGCATAGCATCCAATAATTCCTGATTGCTTCCACAACATTCCAAAATTATGAGCTACTCTGAAAGCACATCTACTATCAGTATAAATATTGGCACTTTTGCCTTGGCTAAAGTACAGGCCCATGTAAGAGCATATAATTCAGACTGTTGGGCCAAAGTAGCCATAGGTAAAGGTGCTGCCTCAACAATATCAAAAGAAGTTGCAATAGTATACCCAGCACAATATTTGCCATTGTCAACTTTTAAATAAGAACCATCAGTATACATGAGAAGTCGGTGTTACCCACAGGAGTTTCATGAGGAGTGAGGACTTAATCTGTCAGTGCTAAGCAGTTGTGAGGGACTTCATCAGTAATGGAGGGGAGAAAAGTAGCAGGGTTAAGGTTATTACAGTGTAAAAAGAATTATGTGGGGAGCAGTTAACAAAAGGATTTCATAGATGAGGCAGCTGGCTGAACTAGGTTGACTGTCTTCAAAATTCAGGAGGGCTTCTACTGCATGAGGTACAAAAATGAAGGGGATCCTACAACCATTTACCAAAAGGGCAGTGGTGATAGTGGCTCTAAGGCAAGGGGGGGTATCCTCGTGCCACAGGGTGACATTGCTGGCTGTAATATCCTATGTCTGAATGACTATATTAAATTCCTCAGCAAATCTGTGAGGATCTTTGGTTACTTTGGGAAAATCTTTGACTATGGCTCAAAGTTCAGCTTTAGTCCAGAGAATATAAGGAATTAAGGGTTTAGCCTCTGGATCTTCAGAAGGCTTAATTTTAAAGGGACAGGTTCTGATAGGTTTTAAGAAAATTCAGTTTTAAGAAAAGTAAGCTTAAGGAGTTCAAAAGTTCCCCATAATGGCCACTGATATTCTAATTTACTTTTGGTTAAGTCAGTCCATTTAGTGGAAAAAATGCACGTGAGAAATGACTGTGGTTTTTAAACTTAAAATCAGCCAGGGCCTCTGTAGGGGGAGGGCACTCTAAAAATATTCCAATAACTGAGATTCTATTTCTTAGAGGATTTCCTCTAGAGCTGAGGAATAATTCTCAAACACCTTAAACACTTTGTTGCTTAAACAGCTTGAACAGCTCAAATACCCTGCAGGCTTAATACCAGCCAGTCCCAACAGAGCAGTCCCAATTCAGTAAGATGGACCAAAGATCAAATCAATGCAGTGTCAAGGAACACCGTTAATCCCCAAGTACGGTTCAATCCCTAAGGGAATCAAACCAAAGCTAATCAATACTGTTCCAAGGGACAGTCTGCTCCCAAGGAAGTCAATCCAAAGGCTGATAACACAGTTCCAATGAACAATCCAAAAGTCGGATGGAAGGCTAACCACTTCCAAGTATGGGACTAGTCCAGTTCCAAAAGGAATCAGATCAAAGGCTAGCACAGTTCAGAGGAATAGCCTGATTCACAGAATCAAGCCAAAGTTCTACCTGAGTGCTCACAGACAAATATGCCCTTAACCAGAAAAGGACAAAGAGTTGAAATAGATCTTGAATACAGCCTGGAGAACCTCCAATAGGTTGGAAGTTTGGATCCAGGAGAAAAGACTTTACCCTCAAACTCCAGGGCTGATGAGAAAAGCTGTGAGCTCAATGGGGTCTGTTGTTGGTACCATAGCGGTTTGCTCACCAGCCTTGGAGTTGTTGCGGGGGGTCTCCCCTGGATTCCCATGTGGGACACCAAAATGTTGACCTTAAACAAATAGGCAGTTATTTCTGCAGCAAAAATGGGTTTATTTGGGATCGACAAAGAGTCGCAATTGGGGGTCTGAAACCATGGTGAGCCACATGCAAGTCCCCCAGCAGCAAGGGAGGAAAAACTCTTTTACAGAGGGGAAGAGGAAGTTGGGAGGGCTATTGTAAACAGAGTCCACTGGAGGAATTGAGAGCTTGATTTGTAGTGACTTTTCATTGGCTGAGTTGAGACAGTCTCTCATTGGCTGAGCTTCTTGACTGGCAGTTCAAGAAGAGGAAGTATTTCTTCTTCTTGTTGGGCTCTGCTATTGACATATGGTGTGAGAGCTCTGCCTTTTGGCCTCCCAACTCCAATTTAGTGAGCCTTCTGAAAGTTTATTAACTTGACATCTCTAATTGAGCTAGTCTCACTTATTTTTCCTCCATTAACAGTCTTCACATTACTCTTTACCTTCTTTTTCAGTGTCCAAATTTCCCTTTTGCACATTGATTTAAGAAGCCTATTGTAATAAGCTGTAGCTCTTTATTTTACTCTTGGTAATCAAAATACCTCAACAAATTATGGCATTACTATAAAATAAGACACTATGCAGATGCTTTAAAACCACCAAGTGTTTAATGACCTGAGGAAATACTCCTGATGTAAAAAGTGACTAAGTCATAATACCAAGGTACTATAGGTATATGGTATAAAGCCCAACTGAAAAATAAATAGTGATAACTTCTGTTGACCAGATGGAGAATGTTTTTTCTCTACTTCTTTGGACTTTTCTGTATTTTCCAAAATTTATGCATAAGCATATATTTGTAAAAAAATTTTTTAATTATATACAATCCACATTATATTGGTGTCTTTGAAATCCAGA